AGCCCTTCCCCCTCTTGTTCTCAAGCACAGGTTTTTATAGCTCGTAAGTTGAGGCTTGCAGAGGTTGTCAGTCGGTCGCTTCGTGAATCTATTTATTAGCCTTAAAACTTGCCCGTAAATTATCAGTTAGGGTGATGGGAGGAGGGGTCGGGCGAGTGTGTGTGTCTTGGGGGGCGGGTCGTGTTGGGGTATGGGAGAGTTCAGGTGAGGGGTGAAAGTACGATAGAGTGATGGTAAAGTGTGGGGAAGGGCGCGATAAAGTGATGGTGAGGGGTGGGGGAGGGAGAGGGTGGAGATGGCATATTTACTAAGGCTGCTGAGTTAGGCCTCTATGCGTGTTATCTATTACTGACGACTGTTTGCGTCGCATATCAATTGATTGTATACGCCTGGGTGGGTCTGGTGAGAGCCCGGGCTGGGTGGGGCTGGGTGGGGTGGGTGGGTTGGTGCGTGGCTCTGTGAGCTAATAATTATTACTTGTGCACGTGCGCGCGTTCGAAAAAGGGGTGAAATACGTCGTTACCGCGGTTACCGTTGTATTCTTTTGATCCGGAAATGGGAAATATTTATTTTTACCGAAATAAATCTCTTGCTGGCAAAAAAACAAGCGTTGTTTTTTCATACGTCAACGGTGTAATAATACTAGTATCGCCACCTAGTGTCAGAATTCGAGTGTTTCGGAAAGAGCTTATCCTTCCAATTTTCAAAAGCCTATTACCAACTAATGTACATACATGTGTATATATATATATATATACTCGCCTTTTTCCGTTTCTTTCGCTTGCTCACTTCCTTACTCCCCTCTCGCAGATAGTATCGCCCACGATCAGGAAAGCATGGAAAAACTTTGACGACCAAATGGCCGTATTTCAGCCTGAACTTTTTCACCCCCAAATGCACAAATAGTGGATTTACCGCTATAATACGTGTTTTTACAGTCACACAATCACACATACACACCCACCAACGGATGCGTACACGCGGGTGTGGTCGCACGCGCGCGTGCGCGTGTATTATAGGCGTAAATTCACATTTTGTGCCTCGGGGAGTTGAAAAGTTGGAGCCGAAATACGGTCATTTTGCTGCGAAAGTTTTTCAACGCTTGACTGGT